GATAAAGTTGGTTAGGCTCGGCGACTTGGGTAATTACATTTCATCGTGGCTCAATGGAATGTCTCCTCAAGACTTGACTGCCTCCGCGGTTTAGTGGTGAGAGTGTCTGCCCGGAGAGCGATAGGTCGGTGGTTCAATCCCCTTGACGCATCATACCAAAATACGTCAAAAGATTGTAGTTCTTGTCACCCTGCCAGGTTCTAGGCATTAAGGGATAAAACAAGCACTGGTAGACCCGGAGTTGGATATCAATGTTAAAACCACGCCTTGGTATCTCTGTGGTCTACTACTATAAAAGTGGCATTAGTATGCATTAACACAAGCCCATGCAACCTTAAACACGCACTTGCTTAAGTGTCCGTAACCTAGGCGACCCTTTTCCTTCATTGCTTAGGCATAACTTTAATTAAATATTTATTACGTACCTCACAGTCGGTTAGCTGTCGGGCTAACAATCCGGTCGCGAGTTCGCATCCGACGGATTCTTGCGGCAGACGTCGTTCTAATGAGAAGGTGTTGTGCCTATTCCGAAGGCGCCGAATAAACTTTTTCTTCTCCTTATTTTACTTCGTAGTGTGTGAAACCCATTACTGTTGTTGCGTCGTTATCACATGGTTAATATACTGATGCAACTCTCTCTCTCTCTCTCTCTCTCTCTCTCTCTCTCTCTCTCTCTCTCTCTCTCTCTCTCTCTCTCTCTCTCTCTCTCTCTCAAGCAGCTGCTGATGTTGAAGTTCCGGTCGAAATGTCCAAAAAACATCTTAAACCAACTGATAAATTTGAATTGCGTCAGTACAATTCTTATCATTCTTTCTCACCACCAGGTGATACGTATTCTGCATTAGATCTGTCGATCACTGATTCTAACATATATACTGAATTTGAATGGTCATTCCACGATGACCTTTGTGGAAGTGATCATTTTCCGACTGTAATTACAGCTGTAAATCCCACTGATGCTCCACCTTCAACACGATGGAATTTTCCCAAGGCAAATTGGCCATTATATCAAACCATATGTGCTGACAAATTGAAACCAAACCTTTTTATAGATGTTCATGACCCAATTCATAGCTGATGAAACTATTCCTAGGTCCTCTGTGAACCCACATATTCGAAAACCATGGTTTAATGACGAATGCAAACAAGCTAGGAAGCGTAGGAAGAAGGCAGAGAAATATACTGAGTCAAATTAAAAACTTCATTTTTATCATTAATGTCCAAAGAAGGATTTCAATTAACGGTGGTAACCATAATTTGTTCCAAAGCACCTACGGTATTCGGTAACATCAACAGTTTAAATCATAAGTCCCACGTACGAGAATCTGATGGCTATAAAGTTCAGTAGCGTGTATGGCCACCATGTGCGTTGACAACTGCCACACAACGCCTCCGCATGGACCTTGTGATGCTTGTGAACACATGATTGGGAAGACGACGCCATCGTTGCTGCAAAATGATGCCAAGATCTTGCAAATTCTGTGGTTGGTTCTGGAGAGTGCGCAGACTTCTGCCAAGAGCATCCCAGACGTGTTCGATGGGATTGAGGTCGGGAGACCTTGACGGCCAGTCCATGACCGGGTCCATGGGCTGCCATTAAAGGCAGAAGTTCTGGTGCCAGTACCTGGTCGCGATAAGCAGCAGCGTTGAGCTTGCCACGGATGACAAGAAGCCTTGAACATGCATTGCCACAGAAAGCACCCCACACCATGACACTTCCGCCTCGAAATCTGTCAACTTCCTGTACACAACACTGTGCGTAACGTTCATGACGGCGCTGGGCGGTCGGGCAGCCTAGTGGTTAAAGCGTTCGCTCGTCACGCCAAAGACCCGGGTTCGATTCCCGACATGGGTACAATGTGTGAAGCCCATTTCTGGTGTCCCCCGCCGTGATATTGCTGGAATATTGCTAAAAGCGGCGTAAAAACCAACCTCACTCACTCACTCAGTCATGACGGCGCCTCCACATTCTCGCCCTACCATCAGCAAATCGAAGATTAAATCGGGATTCATCACTGAAGACGACTTGATTCCAATTCCTCTGAGTCCATCGTAAGTGTCGCTGTGCCAACAATTGACATTGACGTCTGTGTAATTGAGTCAGAATCGGCCCGCAGTTTGGCCGTCGTGCTTGAAGGTGAGCAGTTCTCAGACGGTTTCGAACAGTTTGCGCACGCAGTCCACCCCTAAACAGTTCATTTCTGGATGATGTAGCCGTCAAAAATCGGTTACGGAGGTGACGTAAGACAGTCTGACGATCCTCTGCATGTGACGTCACAAGTGGTCGACGAGGGCAATCAGCGGTGGTACCCGTTTGCTGTAGACGCGTCTGTAAATCATAAACAGTCCGTCGACTACAACCCATCGTCCTTGCGACTTCAGCTACGGACGTTCCCGTCTGCAACATGCCGATGGCACGTTCACGTTGCACATTTGAAAGGCATGGCATGACAAATGGCCGTAAAGACTTTTGTTTTCTTGTATTTTTCTTTTTTCTTAATAACTGCTAACAAGTATGGCTGAAAACACGTGAGGTATTATGGCCACGTGACCAGTTGCACGTGAAAAACCACTTTTGCCACTATAGAGCTGTGCACATTATTTTGATCGATTCACCTGCACAAAAACGGGTGTTATCTGAAGACAATACGTGGCCATTACTGTTCAAATACACAGTAAGGGCCCACAATGATAACTGGTCAAAATTTTAGGATTGTGAAGTTTTTAATTTGGTTCAGTATACTTTCGAACGCCATCCTACCGTTCATAATTTAAACAATGTGAAAATCAATTCTGCCAAGGCTCGACGAACCTTTAAAGACAATAAACGTCAGTATTGGAAGGATTATGTGACTAAAATAAATTCACGCACGCCTATGTCAAAGGTATGGAACATGATCCAAAGAATCAAAGGCAAAGGTTCTAAAACTAGTATTCATCAGCTCAAAGATGACAATAACTTATTGACCTAAAAATCAGACATTGCAAACAAATTGTGCGAAAGTATAAACAACAACAAGAGAGGAAAAAAGTTAATTTTAATTCTGACAATGGCGAAGACTATAATGAAGTTGTTTCACTACATGAACTACACGCTGCTTTAGTACAAGCTCATGATACTGCAACTGGTGCTGATGATATTCATTATCAGCTCTTAAAACACTTGCCTGAATCTTGCCTAACAACACTACTAAATCTTTTGGATGATATTTGGACAACAGGACATTTTCCTCATTCGTGGCGAAATGCCATAATTATACACATACCAAAGCCTGGCAGGGATCATACAGATCCATCAAATTATAGAACCTATTTTGTTAACTAGCTGTGTTTGTAAAACCATGGAGCGCAGGGTAAATAATCGATTAGTTTTGTTTTTAGAAACCAATAATCTGATTAGTAATATCCAATGCGGTTTCCGTAAAAACCGAAGTACAATTGACCATTTGGTTAGTTTAGAATCATTTATTAAAAATGTTTTTGTCAATAAACAACATGCTGTATCTATCTTTTTTTATCTTGAAAAAGCTTATGATACCACTTGGAAGCATGGTATTTTAGAAGATTTACAGGTCTTTGGTTTAAGAGGCCTCTTGCCTCAATTTGTATCACAGTTTTTAAGACAGACAATTTCATGTTCGTGTTGGTTCAACCCTGTCTGATCATTATAATCAGGATCAGGGGGTTCCACAGGGCAGTATTTTGTCTGTCACATTGTTTAGTATAAAAATAAATAGTTTTTCAAAAGTATTAAATGACTCAATTGATAGGCCCCTAGTATTCAGAACATGTAAATGGTGGTGGATGATGCACATGAATGTTAATTATGTTGTGTTCTGTTTATCACTGTATGGTGGACAAACATCTATAAGTTGCGTAGTATAATGAATGTGTCTATAAATTAGTGTTGCATATTGTCACACGGTGGAATTAACAAGAAGTACTGCTAGATATATTTCCAAAGGACAGTATCGTATTTGAGGAAAAACATTACAGCTGATGGTTTCTGTAACTTCTGTGCTTTCAACGTGACATACATTTGCCAAGCGACCTTTAACGTTTCTAAATGAAAACATATCAATTTAGAGGGCCTTCTTCGTTGATGGGGAATATCTGGTACTGTAGTCAATTGAACTTATTAGTCTCATATATCCCACTGCTTTAGACAAGTGATTTGTAAACAGAAATGGTTATGGTAGACATTCAAAGGAGGTGAGTCGAGGTGAAATTGGGTTTAACGTCGCGTCTAAGAGTATTGCACTCAGACACAGAACACTGACTCAGAGGCGAGCCGACCAGTCCCCTTAATGACGAGCAACAGGCAGGGTAACAAAAAGTGCCATCGTTTAACGTCTTTTGGTATGACGCAGCCGGGGATCGAACCCCGGACCTTTCGCTCTCTGGGCGGACGCTCTACCTCTAGACAACCGAGGCGGTACATTTAAAGGTATATACAAAACATGACACATCGTTTGTCAACATGATGTGCGATTTTCTTGGTTATGAGTTTTCACAACTTCTTAATTACTCACTGGGACTTTATTAATGAACATTATTTGCGTGGCGGATGCTATAGAGAGGGCATGGCATCCTTACCCTTTTCCCGAACACCTAGTGTCCTCACTGACTTCAGTGATCAAATCATACCATTTCTTTCCACCAGGTATTGCCATATGGAATCCATGTTTCGTCAGAGTGAGTGAGTGAATGAGTTGGATTTAACGCCGTTTTTAAAAGTATTCCAGTCATATCACGGCGTGTCAGCTTAATGTGATGCAGTTCTCAGACGGTTACCACTTCGGTGAAACCCACGAGCACGGGTATGGTGCTGACAAACCTAGAAACATAATCAGGGCGAACCGGGATTCGAACCCACAATCATAGGTTTCTGGCGAGCCTGAGGGACGCAACTCTGCACAGCGAATCGCGGCGCCTTAGACGACTGGGCCATATTTCGTCAGACATCCAACACAAGCAAGAAAGACAAAGGAACTCTTGAGAGATTTTGAAATAGTTTACTGAATAATTTTGCTCAACATTTAATAAGTAGTGTGTTGTTTACAGGAGAGATAAACCCTTCATGTTGGCCAACAACTGGATACAACCTGAAAACAATGCAAAATATGTTTTATATGATATATATAAATAGATATATCTTTTCTTACTTTGACACAGCTTCAGCAGAGGGGTCTTAAAATGATCTTGTATACACATTTCGAGAAATGTATGCAGAATGAAACAAACTTGTGGTTGGAAATACGTGTAGTTTGTCGAATGCTTTGTGGCTTTCAGGACTTACTCTAAGATTTAGGTCCTTCCTTTCTTTCGATTCTAATTCTTCCACACACGCCCTCGAATCGATCACAGACTGCTGGTAAGTTCTTCTTGGCCTCGGCGGAATCCCCATCTATCTTGATACACCACAAGTCCTTTGTGCACCTGTTTATAAAGGACATTATCATGATAAATTGTTTACTTAAATCACCGCTTACATGACAAACATGAAAGCTGCAAAAAGGTATATACTATCGCTTAAAATAGAAGTTCTCACGTGTAAACAAGGTTTGAAAGTGAAATCATATTTGAAGTTATAAACACAAAGAAAAATGTTACGCACACCCCTACTTCTGAACCATGACTAATGGCAGAAATCATGGCATGGGATGACTGACCACAGGAGCTGGGCCATACCAATGTCATCGGATATAACAAACATTTGACAACAAATAAAGAAGATATTGGTGAAATTTACTGACGAAAACATCATGGTAACATAGGTACCTCAAAAAGTATTGCGTGGCAGTATTAATTAAACGAGTTACGTTTGCTGCTTCATGTGAAAATGTTCCTTAAATTCTCTACTTGACATGACACGTGAAACATATCAGTAGCGGATATAACCGCCACGTGCCCTGATGAAGCATTCCACCCTACGTCTCAGGCCTCTGGTCAGACGATGGATCTGTTGATGGGTCAACAACAACCACTCCTGATGCAATGCTGCTTCCAAATGGCGTAAACCCTGTACAGGAGGATCACGTGCCTGTATGCGCCCATCAAGAATATCCAAAAGATGTTCAAGGGGGCTCAATGCTGGCCAGGGAAAAGGCGTTATTGCATTGGCCCTTATGTAATCCATGCGAACGATGAGGTCTGGCATTGTCATCCATGTACTGAGGTCGTGTAACAAGAGGGTGATTTTGCCAATCCGAACGGACATTCTTACTCGTGTGCCTAAAGAAACAGATCAGCAAGGAGGGAAGCATAACTTGTGTCCATGGAAATGCCTTCTACTTGCCGACATGTCATATTGCCACATTTCACAAATATATTACCTATAAGGAAGTCCGTCATTTCACAACTGATTAAAGTCAGATCTCAGAGCTCGCTACCTCTACACAAATATCTGAGGACATCACATTACAGGCCACGTCTGAAAGACCTTTGGCGAACTTTGACAACCAATAAAAGGTCCAACAAGAAGCCGACATTAGCCAATCATAAAATCAGATTTCTCGAGCTTTACAGCATTAATTTCAAACTGGCAACTTCCATTCCAGTCAACGATCTGAAAAAGATTTTGACCTCGTTCTCGATTCAACATTTTAAACTAACCAACCAAGCAAATTCTTGACTGTCTAAGAGATGGCCAAGTTTGTAAGGAAGTACTTTTGACGGGCTTAGGGCAGTCTTGTTCGTTTGAAATGTTTATCCCACTGAAGCGAGATATAGGCGATGATTTTTACGGAATCATTCGTACGGACCGTAACTGTCGTTCGGAGAACCGCGTGTTGATCTATTCGAGGTGAAGAACGTACATTGGTTTCAGTCACCTTCGTATTTCAACAATATACTATAAAATACTAACGCCACTTACCTAAAATGATGATCCAAACATTGGTAAGAAAAGCAATGGAAACAGCTGATAATTATCATTCTTTACCAAATAATTATTCCTGTATATCTGTAAATCTTATGTAAAGAACTTACTTTGGTTTCAGTTCAGAGCAAGGTTGCCCGAATTTAGTGGGACATACATCACAGCAATTGCAGAGGTCTTTTACGTAGTTCTCTTTTCTGCATCCCCTGGGCGCCGCACATTTCGTTTGGGCACATGGAATACAGGAGAGACCATTCCCCTGGTCTACAAGCACCACAAGGACAACCACAACCAAGAGGATATATCTCATATCTATCTGTTTCTTATTCTACTGATGAACGCTTTGCTATCAGAAAAGAGACGAAACGTTTTAGTCCTAAACATTACTTATATACCGCTTTCGGTATAGACACAGTGGGAAGGGTGGGGTGGGATGTGTGTCTAGGCGAGGCTATATCCACCACACAATCAATGTATGCAATACAGTTAAAGCAGGTTGTACGTTAACCACGCCCATACATTCAAATACATTTCCCTCTGACATAACACCTTCTCAGTCAATAAATCGTTGAGTTTTATATAGTGCCTGTGTCCTATCTAATACAAAGTTGTTGCTTCAAATCTGGTCATCAACAATGCACCACTATTATCTCTGATTTGTAACTTAAAATGTGTGCATATGTCTCGGGTGTTGGTCGTTTTGAATTGGCAGTATGTCCAAAACATCACAATATTACTAGAACATATTGGCCAGGCATAGTAAAAACGAATCAGTGGCATTAAAAAAGAAAAAGAACAGATTTTTTTCCAATGTTGTTTGTTGTTAAACAAAGTACTCAAAGTTTGCCAAATACTAGTTTTGATCCAATAGATGATGATTGAAATATCCTGGTACGCATTGAACGAAAGGGGCATGCAAGAGGCATGTAAGATGTGCTTGTATCGTGACAGAATCGTTGTATTTGCATCCGACTGACCAGTCATCGCAGACTGGCACTTTTAGACTAGGCTGAATATCACCTCATTTACACAGACCAGGACCGGGCTCTAGTACCTATCACTGATGAATCGAGATACTGTCTACACTTCACGGGTCGTCGTGCCCTAGTGTGCCGTAGATTTCAGGATTTCAACCGCTGTTGAGGGGGTTCAATCATGATTTGGGGTGGAAGTATAGCGGGGCACGATGACAGGTGTACGTCTCAGGGATGAAATTCTGGATGTGTACATGAGTCCGTATGCTGGTGCAATCGGGACGGACTTCATCTTTATGGACGACAAGGGAAGACCTCATCGTGCCAGGGTCGTTGATGCCTATGGCAGGATACCATTGTCTGCATGGAGTGGCCAGTCCGGTCACAAGACTCGGTAATATTCTTACTGAAGTGTGATACAATTTTCCCTTGGCAACCACCCAGACACTTATTGGGCGCATCAGACGATGATGCCAGGCTGTGATCGTACACCACATGGATCACATGCGCGAGTGTGTTGTTTGGGACAATGAATTTGTTTTAGTGATTTTGTGACGTTTCAGTTTTGATCCGATCTTAAAATCAGATCTAAGTTCTCGCTGCCGCTAAACAAAGATCTGAGTACATCCCATTACGGGTCACGTCAGAACGATCTTTCGCGAACTTTGACCGACCACTGAAATTACTTAGAAGAAGTCAACATCAGCCAATAACAAAGCAGCTTTCTCGGGCTTTACGGCACTCGTTTCAACCTGGCGACTTCCATTTCAGACTACGCTGGAAATATATGTTGACACAGTTCTCGATTAAAATTTTGAAAACTGAACAAACAAACATTCCGGAATGTCTAATATATTGGTTGCGATTGCATGGCAGTGCTTCCCACGTACTATGCAACGCCTCCTCCGTTCAAATGTTTATCCTACGGAAGCGAGAGATAGACGATAATTCTGACGTAATCTGTCGTACGGGCCGTAATTGTCGTTAGGAATACACCGGGTTAACATTTTCGAGGTTGCATGATTATAAAACACATTCCGACTGTCACTTTCATGATCTGGTATGCGACGCTTTGATTGCTTGGAAGAAAGGTCGTACTGACATGATCCGTAATGGGATGTCCTCAGATCTTTGTTTAGCGATGGCGAGAACTAAGATCTGAATTTATTGAGATTGGTTTTGAGTGAACGGGAGAAGTTAGTTCAATACATACATATATATATATATCTATCTTAATATATATATATATATATATATATATATATATATATATATAGTGTGTGTGTGTGTGTGTGTGTGTGTGTGTGTGTGTGTGTGTGTGTGTGTGTGTGTGTGTGTGTGTGTGTGTTCAATAAATTCGATATTCGTATAGCGGTGTTGAAAACATTTTTCTGAAGTTGTGTTTGTAGTTTATGCTGTTAAAGAGTGAACGGGAGAAGTTAGTTCAATACATACAACATATGTGCAATGTTTGATTGATCATGTGAAACTGTGGGGATTACTCGGAAGAATAAGTCCCCAATATCCTATGCTTGTCATGAAAGCCGATAAAGTTGGTTAGGCTCGGCGACTTGGGTTATTACATTTCATCGTGGCTCAATGGAATGTCTCCTCAAGACTTGACTGCCTCCGCGGTTTAGTGGTGAGAGTGTCTGCCCGGAGAGCGATAGGTCGGTGGTTCAATTCCCTGGACGCATCATACCAAAATACGTCAAAAGATTGTAGTTCTTGTTACCCTGCCAGGTTCTAGGCATTAAGGGATAAAACAAGCATTGGTAGGCTCGGAGTTGGATATCAATGTTAAAACCACGCCTTTGTATCTTGATGGCCTACTACTATAAAAGTGGCATTAGTATGCATTAACACAAGCACATGCAACCCAAAACACGCACTTGCTTGCACACCGCTTTATATGAGTGAACCCTTTTTCACCTCACCAAGACTTGATTCTGACTTCCAAGCTACAGCTCATCTGACTGTGAAGTTGAAGCTGACTGGTTCTGTTTTGCATGCCCGCAAAGGAATGCGTACAAGGTTATTAATGTTTATAATAATAGTAATTTAAATACCCCAAGAAACACAAAAAGTATACATCGTAATATAGTGTGATTATTAAAGGATAAAGGACACTCCTTCCGCTAACATGTGTTTTCACAAATCATTCTTCAGAGCACAGGGGCTGTCGGGTAGCCTAGTGGTTAAAGCGTTCGCTCGTCACGCCGAGGGCACGGGTTTGATTCCCGACATGGGTGATATTGCTGTAATATTGCTTAAAGCGGCGTAAAACCAAACTCACTCACTCACTCCTCAGAGCACAGTCATTTACTCGTTAGAAGAAATGTCATCAACTGGGCTTCCAAATGGTTTTTTTTAAACCGTTCCTGGCTATGCAACACCGACAACGATGTTTCATCCCCTTCAAGGCGTGTGTGTTGAAAACCCTCAAAGTACTAAACAATTTCCTCAAATGGCCTTCCAATTTGGGTCTTCGATGAAGCATTCACAGAAAACGAAGACTGAATCTCGAGTTCAAAAGACCAAACCAATTAATAGTATTTCAATCTGGTGCTGTAAGTGAATAAATGTAAGTTGACGGTGTAAGTTATTATGTTTCTTCTCTATTCGTATTATTCACCGCTATTCGCTGTGCAGTTTTGCGTCCCTTGGGCACGCCGGAAACCTATGATTGTGGGTTCGAATCCCGGTTCGCCCCGATTATGTTTCTATAGGTTTGTCAGCACCATACCCGTGCTCGTGGGTTTACCGAAGTGGTTAACGTCTGAGACCTGCATCACTTCGGGCTTTCCTCCCACATTAAGCTGACACGCCGTGATATAACTGGAATACTGTTAAAAGCGGCGTTAAACCAAACTCACTCAGTCACTATCGTGTGTGAATACCCTAATGAAGATCATTAATCTGACAAGATTCGACGTGTCATGGACATCCTATGCAAATTGCTATTTGACCTCAATTTAATCGTTTATTTCCTCTCACTGAAAGACAATAGGTCAGTACATTTCAAAGGGGATGGTTGTTGTACATGACTATTGAATCATATACTGTACTTTTGGTCCTCGGATTGGTCTCCAGCAACCCATGCTTTTTGTAAGAGGCGACTATGCTTGTCGTAAGAGCCGACTAACGGGATCGGGGCGTCAGGCTCGCTGACTTGGTTAATGCATGTCATCGTATCCCAATTTCGTAGATAAATGTTCTTGATGTAAGTCACTGGATTGTCTGGTCGATTATTTACAGACCGCGTCAAGTTGCTGGACTATTGCTGTGTGCGGCGTAAAAAACAAACAAACAAAAACACTGCAAGGTGGACAAACATTGAACAGTTGCGTAGTCTACATCATATTTACCAGACCCGTGAAGATTCCGGGGTAGAATAGGTCTTCAGCAACCCATGCTTGCCGTAAAAGGTGACTATGCTTGTCGTAAAAGGCGACAAACGGGATCGGGTGGTCAGGCTCGCTGACTTGGTTGATGCATGCCATCGATCCTAATTGCGTGGGTCGATGCTCATGATATTAATCACTGGATTGTCTGGTCCAGACTAGATTATTTACAGACTGCCGTCATATAGCTGGAATATTGCTGAGTGCGGCGTTGAACAACAAACCAACCAACCAACCAATCATATTTACCACATGTGACACGTCGATTGCCATCAACATGATGCGCGAAGTTAGCTCAGGGAGGGATCAGGTTGGGATGTTCTTGTTGAATTTTCACACCTTACTCGATCGAACTTACTTTTTGAATGAATGTTGTTTAAGTGGCGGGTGTTACAGGTAGAGCAGGGCATCCTCACCGTTTTCACGAACACCTGGTGTCATCAATGATTTTCAGTGATTCCGGGATAGAATAGGTCTTCAGCAACCAATACTTGCCGTAAAAGGCGACTATGCTTGTCGTAAAAGGCAACTAACGGGATCGGGTGGTCAGGCTCGCTGACTTGGTTGATACATGTCATCGATCCCAATTGATGCTCATGATGTAAATCACTGGATTGTCTGGTCCAGACTCGATTATTTTACAGACCGCCGTCACATAGCTGGAATATTGCTGAGTGTGGCGTTAAACAACAAACAAACAAAAACAAAAATTCAGTGATTCATTAATATAAATCCATTCATACAATTTTCAACACTATTTCACGCCCCATGAAATCTGTTTCCGTAGATATTCAAGGTTTATGGTCTGGCATCGACGCTTTCAATTGTTTAAAGCCACAATCCAACTTGATGTGATGGTAGCGATAAACACGTAACTGTGAAAAATAGCAAGAAAGACAAAAGACAATCTTGAGAGATTCTCAAATAGTTTACTGAATATTTTCGTTCAATATTTAGTAGTGTGTTGTTTACATGGTAAGACGGTCCTTCCATATTGCCCAAGAACTGGATTCAACCTGGAAACAACGTAAATAAATAAATTACATCTTTCTCTCCTTGAAACAGTTTCATAATGCTTGTAGTAAGAGGCGACTGACGGGAAACGGATGGTCAGGCTCGCTGATTTGGTCATCGTAACCCAGTTGTGATCAATGCGCATGATGTCATTTACTGGATTGGTGAGGTACTAGAGGCTGCTTGTACTAGTCCGGAGTTATGCCAATTTTAAAGAGCTAGCCCACTGAGATACGCATAGACCATGCCGCAGTTTTAACATGAAAACCCCACTCAGACACAGTATACTGACTCCGAGCCGACCAGTCCGTGTTCTATCCCCTTAAGTCCGAGCGCCAGGCAGAGTAACAAAAAGTTATAATTTTTTTAACGTCTTTTCCTATGACGCGGCCGGGGATCGATCCCTGGACCTTCCGCTCTCCGGGCGGACGCTCTACCACTAGACCACAAATCACTGAATTGTCTGATCTAGACTAGATTATGTTCAGGTCGCTGTCATATAGCTGGAATAGTGCTGAGTGCGGCGTGAAACAAGATCGGCCTTGACATTATAACCCTTTCAAGACTGTTGCAAAACGAAGATATATCTTACGTATTTCTCTTTAATTTATGCATTCAGAATGTCAGCAATTGTACACAGCAGACGTTATTCAAATTAACATTTCGGTCTTGTTAAAAAAAATCAGTAAATGCTCTGTCATGCCAATGCCTTGTGCTTTTGGAGACCGTCGTCGAGCGGCATGAACACTGATGTACAGTGTTAAGCCAACAAACAAACACTTACGTTTTTATGCCTTGTGCTTTTGGAGACCGTCGTCGAGCGGCATGAACACTGATGAACAAACAAACACTTACGTTTTTATGCCTTGTGCTTTTGGAGACCGTCGTCGAGCGGCATGAACACTGATGTACAGTGTTAAGCCAACAAACAAACACTTACGTTTTTATGCAAATTTTGAGTGGTGGTTGCTACCGGTAGAACAGGAGATGCTTACCCTTTCGCAAACACCTGGTGTCATCACGGATTTTAAGTGATACATTCATTTAATTTTCATCACCATTTTGCCTTGTACGCCCAATGTAATCTTTTCGGCAGATAATCGAGATTGATTTTTTCGGATGATGTTGATGTTGTTGGAAATAGCTTAAGATATATATGTCTACGCTTATTCAATTACTTACTTTACCAAGCAGGTCTTTGCATTCTTGGGAGTCTAATTCTTCCACACACACCACGGAATCTGTCACTCCAAACTAAGTTCTTCCTGGCCTCGGCGTGATTCTCCTCAATCTTGATACACCACATATTCCCTGCGCACCTGTTTAAACATAATATTATCGTGATGGCTGAATAAATTAAAACACTGGGTTACATGTCACACATGATCTGACAAACAACCGCAGGAAAGCTTGCTGTGCCTATTAGGTCTCAAATGTTACCAACTTTTGGTGCCTTTCAGTGTTTGATATGTATCAGTGAGTGGGTGAGTGAGTTTGGTTTTACGCCGCTTTTAGCAATATTCCAGCAATATCACGGCGGGGGACACCAGAAATGGGCTTCACACATTGTACCCATGTCGGGATTCGAACCCGGGTCTTCGGCGTGACGAGCGAACGCTTTAACCACTAGGTTACCCGACCGCCCCTTGATATGTATCAGCTTAGGTAATTATGCAGCCATATTCAAGGACTTTCCTTCTGTAGGAGGTACGTACGCCATGGTTCTTCTTCATAGTAATTGACCCATGAAGATCCGGGGTAGAATAGCTCTTCAGCAACCCAGGCTTGCCGTAACAGGCGACTATGCTTGTCGTAAGAGGCGACTAAAGGGATCGGGTGGTCAGGCTCGCTGACTTGGTTGATGCATGTCACCGTATCCCAATTGCCTGGATCGATGCTAACGCCATCAATCACTGGATTGTCTTTGCCCAACTCCATTATTTACAGACCGCCGTCATATAGCTGGAATATTGCTGAGGGTGGCGTGAAGCAACAAACGAACAAGCTTAGGTTTAGACAACTGGGACTCACTCACCTTATTGCGAATATCTGGTATCAATACTAGTTGCGTTTATTTATTTTAACACATGTATGAATCTAGTTGGAATCGTACTAAAAGGAGAGATTATGGAAAGGGTTTTGTTGCTTTTGTTTACGTTGATCCGAAAACGAGTCCAACCACACAGTCAGTCAATATGGTTTTACGCCGCTTTTAGCAATATTCCAGCAATATCACGGCGGAGGACACCAGAAATGGGCTTCACACAGTGTACCCATGTCGGGAATCGCACCCGGGTCTTCGGGGTGACGAGCAAATGCTCTAACCACTAGGCTACCCGACCGCCCCTCCAACCACACAGAACTTTGGAAGGCATGAAGTATGGTGGCATCAAACATTTCACATTGACTTGATGTTAACATTCAAAATAGGAAACGGAGGATTTGTTTCAAATTGTAAGGAAACCTTGTCATACAATTCAGGAGATGTGTTCCCTAATTACAAAACTGAATATCGATGACGTTTTTTTAGAAAGACAACAGCAAGTCTAACTCACCTGTGCATTTAACATGATCTTAAAACAAATTAGTATTTTAAAATAATATATTTAATACTTGTACCATAATCCAGAAATGATGATCCGGTAATGTTGTTAAAAGAAAAGCCATGTTAACGCCTGATAATTATCATTCTTCACCTAACTTAGAAGGTCTACATACCAGGTCTACATCTTATTATGCCACCTGATATTGACTGCTGAGTTAAGTGTTTCCATGCATTAGCGTAGGGTAACGTTTTCGAAACCATGATACATCTCTAGGACATCACGGTGAGTATTGCATGTTATGTATTTTGCCATTAATAAATGCCATTTTCAAGGTTATACCACCCAAAAGAGTTTCTGTACAACTTAAGAAGTAAATTTATGAAGCTTTGCGTTGTTCTTTTCATAAGGCTCCTGAATGGACTAATTATCATGTCAATACCGTTTTCGAGGTTCTTACTATCTTACTATAAAACCCTTTACTATGTCATAACAATATATTTAATACTAACACTATTACCCTGAAATGGTGCTCAGGTTATGTTTAAGAAAAGCATTGATGATAAGCAGCTGATAAATATCATTCTTAACGTAATAAATTAAATTATTCCTGTACTTCTGTAAAGCATATGTGAAGAACTTACTTTGGTTTCAGTCCAGAGCAAGGTTGCCCGAATTCAATGGGACATACATCACAGCAATTGCAGAGGTCTTTTACGTAGTCCCTTCTTATGCATCCCCTAGGCTTCACACATTTCTGGGCTTTGCACCGTTGGCATCGTAAGCCATTGGTTTGGTCCACCAGTATCATTAGGACCACCACAGCTAGGAGAATATATCGCATTGCTGACTGTGCTTCCTTACGAATGTACGGGACAAAATAGCAGAAATAACAGAGTTATTTGACAGCTTCCCGTGTACTCTTTGATAAGTGAAAGTGGAGATACACTCACTTACTGCTGATCTTTAACTGTTGGTGATCAGTGTTAGACGGATCTATAGCAACCATACATTCATTGTATACAGTGTCGTTATTGCATCAAAGGAATACTTCCACCACGCCCACTATCATTATTGTCACTATATCTGTATTGACATGGGTGCGACGAAACTCAAGCTCTCATCAAATGATCCAAGGGACACAGATGTGTGCTTGCTTTGGAGCAGGACAGGGGCAATGCATACTTGTAATATCAGATCTCAGAATCGACTTTCTCTTCGGTGTAAATAGAGTTTTTAGCCGAGTGTGTTTTGGAATCGCAAATATTATATATTACCAATCGCAATTAAAACTGTATTATACGAGACCTTGGCGAGCGTAATACATATTTTGTATTTTTAATACATGGCATAAAATGGTTTCCTCTTTTTGGCCTCCGACTACGATTGCCGATGTTGAGAATTAACAGGGCCCGGAATTCATTCATACCAGCCAGTATCAGGTTTTATATAAGTGTTGTGATCAATAATTGTTGATAAATTATTCGCTAGTGCTATATTTAATGTTAATTATGTTTTTGATACTTGTTGTATTTAGTCTTTGAATGGTATTTATAAGTGATACTCATAAGGAAGAGCATGTATGTATGTATGATAAATTAAGAAGTTGACATCCATATATTCTCTTTCTTATGTATTTGTATGTGTGTTTATCAATTATCGGAGATCTTGTGCTGATGTAACTGAAATTTCCTCAGTGAAGTGCTATCTTATCTTATCATACCTTATTAGTGATACGATAAGAATATAAAGTGTCAGTGAACCGCTCCCCAAATGATATAGTGAGTGCTAAATTAATGTAACCAGCCTTGGCTGTAAATCGTCGCCATATTGCTTAAATATATAAAATACCTATGTGACGTTCAAGTTTAATCTGGGGGCACGGGTGGCCCAGTCGTCTAAGGCGCCGGAATTCGCTGTGCAGAATTGCGTTCCTTGGACACGCCAGAAACCTATGATTGTGGGTTCGAATCCCGGTTCGCCCCGATTATGTTTCTAGGTTTGTCAGCACCATACCCGTGCTCGTGGGTTTCACCGAAGTGGTAACCGTCTGAGACCTGCATCACCTTAAGCTGACAGGCCGTGATATGACTGGAATACTGTTAAAAGCGGCGTTAAACCCAACTCACTCACTCACTCACTCAAGTTTAACTCACTCACGGGTGATTACATAAGCACTATCCCATCAGGAAACCACCATCGTATCACTTCTGGAAAGTCTAACAAAAGTGTTGGAGGAATGTATAGAGGTTACTAAAAGTAGTTCCTGCTTCGTGGCCTTATTTGCCCCCAGAATATGATAAATGAGATTATTGTGGCGGGTTATATTTATCTTCTTGGTCTATTTTGTAACAAGACTTTCAACTCTATATGACTCAATCTCCGATTTGGTTGTTGCATATGACATGTCGTTGTTTTGGCAGTCTAATTGAGGAAAAGTCTGAATTTACTGATTATGAGAGAATTATTTAACATCATTAAGTCAAACCGTGATTCCAAAGAAAATGCGCTTGAGGATCTTTCGGGTTAATTTAGAGACAAGGCACAAATACCTTTGCACGGGCATCGATATCACTCAAATCAGTTAGTCGCATAAATATCATGACGGTTTGAATAAGGTAACATCTGTTTCACCGATGGAATGTTTCTCGCAAATGCAATTTCAGCGTGATCCAAAAGAGTTTCCTCAATAGGTAATTCAAGAAGTATGTTATAATGCTTTGCTTTGTTATTTTTATGTGCTTCTGGATGACTTCCTTATAATTTTAGCTCCGCTTCAAAGGACATTTGTTTAAAGTTCGTGTGTCATTTCGTTTACATAATATGCTGTAGAATGGGGCCGCGTGTTTCATGTAGTTATTTGGTTCAATTGAGTAGATAAATATTTCCCTTGCAATGCATGAGTTGAAGTACATGTACCACTACCGCTGTTTTGCCTTTCGTGCCCAGATGAATCTGTTTCGTCGTTCCATCGAGGCTGGTTGCGTTATATAGTAAAAGGACCTTTGCTGAACTTTCGGTATTGGATATACGGTGTGCTCAGCAATATTATGACGGATTGATTGGTGGATCCGGAGCAGTAACTATACAGCAATATTCAAGGACTTTCCTTCTGTAGGACCTACGTACGCCATGGTTCTTCTTCATAGTAACTGACCCGTGACGATCCGGGGTGGAATAGCTCTTCAGCAACCCATTCTTGCTGTAGAAGGCGACTATGCTTGTCGTAAGAGGCGACTAACGGGATCGGGTGGTCAGTCTCGCTGACTTGGTTAATGCATGTCAGCGATCCCAGTTGCGTGGATCGATGCTCATGATGTTTAATTGTGTAATCATCTACTTTAGCCAAGCTCACTTCAGTATCTTAACAAACCCACAGTATAATTCTGTTGTGTGAGTGAGTGAGTATGGTTTTACGCCGCTTTTAGCAATATTCCAGAAATATCACGGCGGGGGACACCAGGAATGGGCTTCACACATAATACCCATGTCGGGATTCGAACCCGGGTCTTCGGCGTAACGAGCGGACGCTTTAACCACTAGGCTACCCGACCGCCCATAATTCTGTTGAGATGTATATCGCGAGCGTATCACGATCTCATAAAATCATACCAGGACAATGGGGTAGGGCTCGATGACGTGGTTGATGCATGTCATCGTATTGTTGAGTGCGGCGTTAAACAACAAACAAACAAATGAGATATCTGAAGGGGGTATCAGAACAAAGGCAGCAGTTCAACCTGGGCGGTTGATATCAGTCAACAGTATATCTAGTTGCTTGATGCCTCAACAGTAGAAAGAACTATATTGTGGAAATAATAAAAGAGACACGAGACACTTCTAATTTGTGTTTATTGTCAAAGTTCAATATTAAAGGCGCAGCTTGCTGTTTGGTTAATCAGTCGCGTATGTCATATAATCCAATCACTGTGTGGCACCTGGAAATACAAAAATACGTATGTTTCACCTTGTTTCACTATCACCGCCTTTGATCAACCGACACCAAGGGTTTTACAACCCGCCTTTGAAGATCTAATCAAGCAATAGAATTAAAAAAAATAATTAAATTAGGATCCAATCAGCTTGTTAGAATTTTTAAATCATCCTTTCCATTCATCTAGCTTCATGACCTAAGTCTTGTCTGTTATTTCTTTTTCTCTGTGTGATATTGTTATTTATTACCTGTTGTTGTGTACATATATATAAACCTCTCATCACTTGGCTGAAGTTACTTCGGCTGGATAACAGTTTAAGAATCTACATCGAAACGTCACTTAATGCAATAAAACAGTAGTTGTATATTTACTGGCCAACTTCTGGAATGTCAATAAAACAGTTTTATGCAACATCTTGCAGTTTCTTCAAACGTGTCTTGAAATATATTTCCATTAGAACTAAATAAGGATTGTGTGTACCATTGTGCGGTTTGAAATAGCTGAAGACAGACGTACTTTACGAGGCAGATTAACTAAAAAAGCATTATCCCACAAACGCCTTGGAAGGTGTCGCCGTAGACCAAGTTTCTCCTTGCCTCGGCACACTTCTCCTGTCGTTTGATGCACCAGAGACGAGGTTCGCACCTGTTACAAAATAAAACTAGAACGTATTATTACTCGGAATAGGATGGTGGGAGACATAATCATGGAACAATTAATACCAATATCACACGGCAATGATGTAACAAGGTTACATTGGCTCGACTGTAAACTTAGGTAACAATTAACAAGGGGAAATAGTAGGAAATCTAATTCAGTACACCATATGTAATAATAAAGTAAATTGATAATAAAAGGTTCATCATTCCTATGTAAATGTTCGCGTCGATAAAAGTCGATAATAGTTTGCGTCCTCTTCTACTTAAAGTTTTTAATCTTTAATCTAATTAACATTTGCAATCATATCAAGAGTATCCTGGACGCAGTTTACTAAAACCATTTGTTCATTCATTTATGTTCTCAACATTTTTTATCTATTAATCTAATACAAACAGCCTCTGTCTTTTGGGTAATGAAGACATTTTCGTCGTCGACTTATTTACGATTTTGACATGTCTTAACGTACCAAGAGTCCCTGATTAGAATAGGTCACAAGGGATATATTGCTTGTCGCGAATAATTGGATAGGGTACTCAGGCTAGGATACTTAGCATTCTGTATTTAAACGTACAGCACGGTGTTGATGGACCCATGCTTGCAAACAATATGACTAAATTGGACGGAATCCATCAATACCAATCTGACCTTATTGAAACGGGAAAGGCCTAAGATAAAGAACTTACATATCTAAGAAAGGAAATGATACCTCTTTGAAATTCTGAGATAACATGTTTGTTAGTCCAGAGTAATAATATCTGTTATCATTCTTATTATTTTTCACCCTTGGTGGGCATAACTACTCGGAGATCATACAGTAAACTACGGTTATAACGAACTCAAATGGACTACTAATTTCAGTTCGTTCTAACCGTAGTTCGTTATAAGCATATATACAGCATAACTACAGCAAATAGTCGGGACCAAAACAGTAAGTTCGATATATCCGTAAGTTCGTTATAAGCGTGTTCGTTATAACCGTAGTTTACTGTATGTGAAGAACTCACTTTGGTGTAAATCCAGAGCAGGGTTTTCCTTTTTTAATGGGACATACATCGCAGCATTTACACCTGTCCTTTATCAAATACTTTGTTGCGCATCCTCTATCCTTTGCACAACTTTTGAGGGAACACTTTGGACAGACGAGGCCATTGACGTGTTCCACCAACAGGACACCGACAATAACAACCACAGCAAAGAGGGCGTATCTCATAGCTGGCGGTACTTGTTTGGGGATCTATTAACCTGATGATCAATATACCTGTATTAGGAAATAGAAGAAACATGTTATTTTAGAACTGTTCCTTATATTGTCTTGTCAGTATGGACGATGGACAAGACCTTTAGCTTAAGTGAGTGAATGAGTATGGTTTTACGCCGCTTTTAGCAATATTCCAGGACGACTAAAATTGGCTTCACACAATGTACCAATGTCGGGAATCGAACCCGGGTCTTCTGCGTGACGAGCGAACGCTTTAACCACTAGGCTACCCGACCGCCCCCTAAGCTTAAGCTTAACGTTGACAGTTGGGGCGTTTCAAACCACACGATCAATGTCGTGTCTTAAATGAACATCGGTATCGCAATTTCCATGTACAGTGAAATTACTGTCGTTTTGACGAGAAATTGAAACCACGGAAATCTTAAACACTAAGCATCGTTTTTTATTACCTCAGTAATAACAGCTTCAAACAAACCTCAAGATACTTCTGATAATTCATTCACATTTCAGCTTACACTGCTGTGGTTTCAGAAAAGATTATCTGTATTTTTTTTAATTTTTAAAAAAGAATAATAACAATCAATATGATGCGATAAGGATTCCCTATGCCCCGCATTGTCTACCTCTCGTGAAGTTGAATACCTTTCACTTTCTGTCTTGAAGCCACTCCTATGACAATGCACACCTACATTTATTTAGAGCTCGGTCCTTCAAAGGTTCCAGACAATATGTGGAAGGTTTACGGACGATGACAAATTTAGTGTCAACATTTCACAACCATTGAGCCTTCATATATCTGGAATATTTCTGTGTGCGGCGTTAAACAACAAACAAACAATACACAACGTTTGAGGTAATATCGGCCATGCTCTTTCTACGGATATTCGGGGGCACGGGTGGCCCAGTCGTCTAAGGCGCCGCGATTCGATGTGCAGAGTTGCGTCCCGTGGACACGCCAGAAACCTATGATTGTGGGCTCGAATCCCGGTTCGCCCCGATTATGTTTCTATGTTTGTCAGCACCATACCCGTGCTCGTGGGTTTCACCGAAGTGATAAACGTCTGAGACCTGCATCACTTCGGGCTTTCCTCCAATATTAAGCTGACACGCCGCGATATAATTGGAATACTGTTAAAAGCGGCGTTAAACCCAACTCACTCACTCTACGGATATTCAAAGAGCGTCTTACGACCCTTGTTCAAACGTTGGGGCACATTTCAAATTTTGATGCAACAGTGGCCAAATTAATGTCCGGTGTATTTTCTTATTTTGACTTGTACCATAATATACATTATGTACCCGTGTTTGTTCAGGTGAACATTTAACTGACCTTTGCATGTGTTTGTGACGGGTGCCACCGGTGGGGCAGGATACACTCACCTTTTCGCCAGGCATCATCACCATTTGATGGTGGTTCTTGCTTATCATATAGTCGAAATTGTAATGGATTTAGCAAAGATGCCTTACGGTTATTGAAAGTTTTTCTTCACTTTTAACTATATACATATATTTTGCTTCCGTTGATGACACGTATCTCGATAGTATTGAGACAGTAAGTTAGTGGCAAAGGCTTTGCACAGTATTTCAGTTACACTACGGCGTGAAATGGAGTAGGTCTTATTCTTTTACCATTCATGGTGCTGACAAACCAAGGTTCTACTCACAGCGAGTCTGTGACTCGAACCCACGATCAAAGGATACTAGCACACCAGAGGGAAGCACCACTCGCGAGCCCGAGACAACAGACCTATCTGGCTAGGAAAGTTTACATTTGATGTATATTAAAATAAAATTAAAATAGACAAAGTTATCTCACTTTAGAAATGCTGTTCGGAAATCTCAGAATGTTCCAATTCATTTATCCCCGGTTTACATTAAAACGCATTAGTGCGCCGAAATGAGACAGTTCTGTCAACTGACTTGGAGTAATTGCTAAATGGTCATAGGTAATTCTACAATAATGAATTCCACAAACTAGCAGATACAAAAAGAATGAAATCAATTGGTAACCATGAGGATATCATCTAGAATTGCGAAAGCGTATTTAAAATAGGTGAGGAGGAATGAACAGGACAGGAAGGAGCTCGTTCCAGCGACCTGCCGAGAAACATCTTCCTTCTTACTTTAACTCTGTGTTTTGCCCTACTGTACATTCATGGCTGATAATGTCAGCGACAATATTAACAGCGTACGAGATCCCTTCTTCACCGAATATTATAAGGTATAATATCGTATCTGAAATTACGTCCTTTGTGACAACGATACCCAATTACCTTGTCTGGTTTTGCAGCAATTCGCAGAGATGTCCGTGGAACTGGATACGATATTGTGTAATGCTAAGCATATGGATAGCAGTCGTCATTTATACTGCTGGCTTAAACATGTAAAGCAGCTTTTCTTCATATTAGTGTAATGAGATTGTATATATGCATGCACTATTTTTATCAATATTACCAGGTAATAGTGATCTCGATTATGTGTTAATGTCACCTTATAAATATTCCTAGTTGGTGATTCATTGCATTCGGGTGAATTGTAGAAAATTCGTTCTCAACGCACAACCTTTTGATGATTACACGTATTCTGACCCGTAAAGATCCGGGGTAGAATAGATTTTCAGCAACCCAGGCTTGCCGCAAAAGGCGACTGTACTTGGCGTAAGAGGCGACTAACGGGATCGGGTGGTCATCCTCGCTGACTTCGTAGATGCATGTCATCGTATCCCAATTGGGGGGATCAATGCTCATGATGTCACTCACTGGATTGTCTGGTCCGGACTCATTTATTTAAAGACCGACGTCATATAGCTGAAATATTGCTGAGTAGGGCGTTAAACAACAGACAAACAAACAAACACATTAACTGAATTGGACTGGTAAACCTGCACAGTTTATGCTTATGATGCTTTCAAAAACTTAAAATATTATGAAAATGAAACAATGGAGTTGTGCCTGCCGACCGATTGATATTGCTGATAGCTTTCTGGTGTACCCAATCATAGGTTTCTGGCGTGCCCAAGGGACGCAACTCTGCACAGCGAATAGCGGCGCCTTAGACGACCGGGCCACCCGTGCCCCCAGAGGAAACAAGTAGCTCAAACAATCCGTGAAGGAAGGCGAGGAGCGACCCAGAGACTATGCTGAGATCATCTCCCACGCCGATAATACTGAGAATAATTTAAAAAAATATTTAGATATGATAAATAGGGTTTCACTTCTTTCGTAAAATAGTGTTTCGGTCTGGTTGTTGTTACATGTAGCTGGGGAAATAGATGACTATAAGTGTATGATCAGTAGACTTTGATAAAGTAGGGACGATTTATGCCTTTACAGTTAACTTATCTCTACTTTGTCATCCGTCAACATCTAAGTAATGCTATCGAACAATTCAGTAGACTTGGATGTCTTACGTAAACGGCAGTGCTATAGCAATGTTATATCACCAAGGTCGAAACGACCGTTAATTGCCACAACGGCTGTCGCAATATCCTACAAAGCTCAAACCAACACACCATCGTACCATATGGCGCGATGCTACACGTGACGAGACAGTTGTTATGCAATGAAAATTGTTTCATCAATATGTGTAATAAAGAGCACACAAGAGAATATTTGCACCTAATACAGCCAACCTCATGCATTGATCACCCGACCCGTGAAGATCCGGGGTAGAATAGGTCTTCAGTAACCCATGCTTGCTGTAAAGGTGACTATGCTTGTCGTAGGAGGCGACTATCGGGATCGGGTGGTCAGGCTCGCTGACTTGGTGGAATCATGTCATCGATCCCAGTTGCGTGGATCGACCCGTGAAGATCCGGGATAGAAAAGGTCTTCAGCAACCCATGCTTGCCGTAAAAGGCGACTATGCTTGTCGTAAGAGGCGACTAACGGGATCGGGTTGGTCAGGCTCGCTGACTTGGTGGAATCATGTCATCGATCCCAGTTGCGTGGATCGACCCGTGAAGATCCGGGGTAGAATAGGTCTTCAGTAACCCATGCTTGCTGTAAAGGTGACTATGCTTGTCGTAGGAGGCGACTATCGGGATCGGGTGGTCAGGCTCGCTGACTTGGTGGAATCATGTCATCGATCCCAGTTGTGTGGATCGACCCGTGAAGATCCGGGATAGAAAAGGTCTTCAGCAACCCATGCTTGCCGTAAAAGGCGACTATGCTTGTCGTAAGAGGCGACTAACGGGATCGGGTTGGTCAGGCTCGCTGACTTGGTTGATGCATGTCATCGATCCCAATTGCGAGGATGGATGCTCATGGTATTAATCACTGGATTGTCTGGTCCAGACTCGATTATTTACAGACCGCCGTCATGTAGCTGGAATATTGCTGATTTTGGCGTAAAACAACCAACCAACCAACCAACCTTGATCACCCAACATTTCAAAGTGTACAAGTAGTATGAAACTGTCATTTGCACTTTTCAGTGTGTATATATATCATAGGAGTATACCATTATTTTCATTCTCAAATGGTTGATTGCTTTTCGGATACATAGGTAGTGAGTGAGTGAGTGAGTGTGTAGGGTTTAACGCCGCTTTTAACAGTATTACAGTTATATCACGGCGTGTCAGCTTAATGTGGGAGGAAAGCCCGAAGTGATGTAGGTCGAAGACCTTTACCACTTCGGTGAAACCCACGAGCACAGGTATGGTGCTAACAACCTAGAAACATAATCGGGGCGAACCAGGATTCGAACCCACAACCATAGGTTTCTGGCGTGTCTAAGGGACACAACTCTGCACAGCGAATAGCGGCGCCTCAGACGACTGGGCCACCCGTGCCCCGGGATAGATAGGTTATATATATGGTCCTATAAGTGACAGGCGACACTGATCACCTAGATATTTTATGAATACCCCACTCAGACACAGTATACTTCGAGTCGACCAGTCCTTGATTTATCACATTGAAGCCTAGCGCCACGCAGGGTTACAAATGACGCGGCCAAGGGATTGAACCACCGACCCTCCGGTCTCCGGGAAGACACTCTCCACTAGACCACGGAGGCGGTTCCCGTTTTACAGACTGGCTCCGAATCTTCAAAGTCGCCGTCCATCATCTACTTCTAAGACCAGATGGAAAATATCAGCAACAATTATACAGTCATAATGCATGCCTTGAAATGTATATCGGTGATAAAATCAGTACTACCTTTTCTGAAGGCAAATGTTAATGTCTTCGTCAATTTGATTGCTTGCAATTATGCGCGGTATAATGACCTGCCGTCACTGTAGATTGACGTTGGCTTCGAGGCCAATGTACAAATGGATGCTCGTCAAATGAAGCTGCGGAATATTATCATAAAAATGGATTATATTTGTTCATGTAGGATTCACCATGTTTAGAAAAGTGCCTTTCAATGTTCGTTTCTTATCATGTTGATCATGACTTTAACGTCAGACACTCATTCATGTATGCATAACGACCGTGCAATGATTCTTGTTATACAAATGCTGAGAGATCAGCTGTTGCGCTGCATAAAGGCTCACAGAAACCACGGCAAATGTGTCGTGCATGCCATTGAATCCTGACAAAAGTAATCGATCACGTCTGTGAAATGGCCAAATGATAACGCCTACAGAGAATATAATTAAGTTGCAGGTTTGTGATGATTTCGAGCTAGCCCCTTCTGCATTCACTTGATAGTAACAGGATGGAGCCCTGTACACCTTCAGTTTGACTATTACTTGACAACATTTTCGTGCATTTAGGGTTTGCACAGTTATATATATTTTATAATAAAACATATAACTGAAATTTATTGTTTTTCCTCATGCAGAAATGCAGTCAAAATAAATAGAAGCGTCAAAAATCACCAGCTGATTACCCTCGCTAAACACGATCCCTGGTTTCTGTAAACTCGGTCAAGGTAACATAACCAATACGGGGTTCTTATTGGCTGAATTGCAGGTTTGATTGACGTTGTCCATCAGTCTGTTTCGTGAGGGAATTTGTGGATTTGTCTCTCAGTTGGCATAGTCACGTGTGAGCCAACGTGTCAGAAATGAAAGACGGAGACGTGATGTAGCCGATTTCACCATATTTTTCTTTTCCATCAGCAATTTCCATATGCTGACATGCATGATGCATGAAATCACTAAAGACTCAATAAACACCGAATAGAATGTGACGAAAACAACATCAGCTGTTGCAAATATATTCATTTAAAGATGATAATGGCCACCGTATAATGGCATTATCAATGTGGTGATTTATTAACTGACAGCAAAGCGATATTTTGCAAAGTGCAAATACCACACTGTCAGCATATATAGATATGTAGAATTAACAGTGACAGCCACTAAATTGCAGGGCTAAATTATACATCCGTCTTAATCAGCGGCCAAAGGAGGCGCAAACAACAGCTGGTGTAGAACAATAATATACGTGTCAACATCAGCAGCTTAAGATATAGTCCTACAAAGGAAGGAACCATGGTGGTATTTATGGAATGATGTATAGTTTAGTTATATACTTGAATAATTAAGGCACGAATTGAGTTATTGTAACCCAAGACCTGATAGGTGTGGCTGGCGTTGTTATCGATATTAATCGATACTTGGTTTGAAAGGATTGTGTGTTATCATAACATTTTATGAAGTTACAGCACAATTTTCTCCTGGTAAGCATTATGGAGCCATATCCCATTATTGAGTGATTGTGTGCACCCGTATTTCATCTTTATCACAGCCTGACAGCATGATGTGGGAAAGCCTGGAGCGAGGCAGGTCTTGGGTGTTTACCACTTTCTTGAAACTGGCAAACCTCGCAACATAATCAAGGCAAATCGCTACTTATATTTATTCATTTCTCAGAAAGACCACCCACGGTGGTACATGACAAACGCTGTGTAATTATATACAATTTTCAATGTGTACATAATGGCAGCATTTAACAAGACTGTGTAATTTAAATTCAAATGTTTACTGTGTGAAAGGCCACAGACCCAAATACACGAAGAGCTTAAAATACAGTACAGGGTCATTTTGCAAATAGATTCAAATGATTCATTTGAGTACCTTTCTGGTCTTGAAACAAAACATACCATAGGTTTAATCTTGATAATTTGAGGTTGCATTAAGGCGAATAAATTGTTGGACTGACGGACGAATTACATATTTATTGGTATGCATTGCTTTCGAATACGTTTTAAGGATGGACATATAAAGATGAAATAATACCGATCTACATTGTTTAGATTACAATATGTACATAATCCTTCAGATTTGGGATTTTGTGTTGTCTCTCGGCATCAATAATGCTTGTACATCCAACTCGAGCACGAGCATAATCGGTAGCAAAAATACACAAGGATGGACTATTTTAAATATGTTTCTGCTTCTAGGGTTAAGTGGTTTACATTCATATATAGTGCTAGGAAATAATATATTAGTCCATTCTTGGCTGTACATATCTTTTAATCTGGCTTGGAAAAGATTAAGAAAACTAACTATACATCCAATGTCTCAACTCAAACAAAGCCACGACCGTCACTAAACAGAATAAGTTCTGTCGACCTACTGAATCAATATTAAATAGCATTTCGGTGCCTTACGCTGGAGTCTATTAGATGGCATATGAAGTAGTTTTAGCCAGTGTAAAATGTATTTCACCGAACTGTTTATATACCATGGTACTGTCCACATTCCCCTGAAACGATTACATTGGGAATGTTTTGCTTCACCAAGATAACATTTACATGCTAGATATTAGACCCTTTCTACGACCGCCAATCTTTGATGTCCCTCTATTTCGCATCAATACAAAAGGATGGGTTTAATGTTTGAATCAAATATTTTGTCAAATGTTCCAGTCAGATTTTTCCATTTATCCAAACCAATTAAAAACATTTACTCGTCACCTTTACTCATTTAACGCCAAATTAACATTAAATTTAAAGATGGAGTCATTGTTAGTCCAAGATACTCATATTCTGATACAACTTGTACAATTTCATTACACTGATACCATTTCTCACATTGTTTAACAATTCCACCTTTACGAAAAACAATCATTTTAGTTTTCGACATGTTAACATTTATTGTTTGTTTGTTGTTTAACGCCACACTCAGCAATATTCCAGCAATATCACGGCGGCCTGTAAATTATCGAGTCCAGACAATCCAGTGATTGATACCATGAGCATCGATCCACGCAAATGGGATGCGATGACATGCATCAACCAAGTCAGCGAGCCTGACCACTCGATCCCGTTAGTCGCCTCTTACGACGACAAGCATATTCACCTTTTACAGCATGGGTTGCTGAAGACCTACCCCGGATCTTCACGGGTCTATTAACATTTAACTTCCAAACTAAACAATATATAAATTTGTTAACAACATCTGTTGATGTACGGGGCATATCCAAAGAATCTCCAGTATCCCCAGGAATACCATCACTGTAGTTATCAGACGTATTCCCAATTCCAGCATTTAATCCTCCTCCTAATATGATGCAAGGGTTGTTTCTACCGATTTAAAATGATATATCCTGAAAGATTTGTACCATGTTTTCTGATCGTTATAAAATGTCAAAGACTGCCGAGGTATATGATGAACATATACATATAGGATAATGAATTAAGCATAAAAATATACCTAAAGTGCACGTATAGGGTGAAAAGACTACTAAGTGTTTATACTTATACTGCCTACACCCCCCTCCCCCGCCCCTCCACACACACACACACACACACACACACACACACACACACACACACTAACTACGCCCAACATAAGTAAATCTTGACGTTTGTAGTTGATAAACGTGAAAGTATGGCTATGCATGTGAACAATCTAGGTCCCTTGCCCACGTTTCTACAGGACCCACTAAATCACAATCAGAAATATAAGCTATTGAGTCTATCACCTAGTTTCGAATTGAATCCTTCAACGTTCCAAAAAAGAAAACAAATTTCTACCTTAAGGCCCCGGCCTAACCGTTATTCGTATTGTTACCTGAGTGAGTGGATGAGTATGGTTTAATGCCGCTTTAAGCAATATTCCAGAAATATCACGGCGGGGGACATCAGCATGGGGCTTCACACAATGTACCCATGTCGGGATTCGATCCCGGGTGTTTGGCGTGACGATCGAACGCTTTAACCACTAGGCTACCCGAACGCCCCGTATTGTTACCAGAAGCCGGGTTTTCGCTTGTACTGCCTGTGCGCCTCGTGTCCCTAGTACTGTTAGAACGCACGCGGTTAACGAAACTGTCAGTGTACTGTGGTCTCTGACTTGTATGTGATGACAGGCTTTTATCGGGAGGGACATATCATACAAACAGTTTTTCAGTTTTCGAAATAGCCAAGTGTATTATCTGCTGGAAGTTCCTGTAGGACAGCTGTTTGTTGCGGGGTCAGATCAATGAACACACCAATACCAACCTTTTGATAGTCCTTGCGGTGCTTCAAGATGCTTAGCATGTAGTCCTCGTGGGCGAGGTCCATCTCGATCTCCTGATCTTTGCCCTAACCTAAATGACCTCTCCAGACCCCGAGGAAACCACCCGTTATCTCCCTGAATATCCTTTAGAGTTTCTACAATAACCTTCAAACATTCCATAAACGTCTCATCGGCAGATTCAAGAATATGACGTTGTTGTTTTTTTCTTGAGAAGGTGTCTATTTTATTCATTTCTATTTCAATTTGTCTCATCTTAATGTCTACTGTGTCAGACGGTACTCTAAATCATCAACCTTTACATGGACAGCATCTAGGTCTAATTGTTATACACTCCTCAAAAAAAGAAACGCACAGGGAGATTTTTAGTAAATTTATTGTACCTAATAAAGTCGATATATTAATTTAATGTCATAGATACAAATATGAGATTTTGGAGATTGATAGTTACATGTTGTCGTTGTACAAAGGCATTGAAAACTGTTCATTGTCATGTCACAAGGTTGCGATGAACTCGGTATCTCGTGTGACCGCTCCGGGCAGCAATCACGGCTCTGCATCTCCTCGGCACTGACTGGATAAGTGTACGAATTCTGTCCTGCGGAATTCTGCGCCGTTCTGCTTGTAACGCGTTGGCCAGTTGTGGGAGTAGTGTCTGCGGCGTGTTCTGACGTTGTCGTTCACGTCGATCGAGTTCATCCCAGAGGTGTTCGATTGGGTTGAGATCTGGAGACCTCGACGGCCAGGGCAAGACGTTGATGTTGGCATTATTAAAGGTAGTCTACAGTGACACGAGCTGTGTGCGGTGGAGCGTTGTCCTGTTGAAACAACTCCCTCTGGCGGTCAATGATTGGAAGAAGGTGAAGTTGAAGAACTTGATTCACGCAGCGATTTGCTGTCAACTTTCTCTGAACCATAACCAAGTCAGATCTCGTGGTGTAGGATGTTGCTCCCAACACCATGACACTACCGCCACCGGAATTGTCGAATTCATGTTCATAATGTGGGGCAAAACACTCATTACGATGAAGAAGAAATCGTGATTCATCGCTAAACCACACTCGTCTCCAGTGTCTCAAATTCCAAGGCTGTAAGGTAAGCACCAACGCAAGGGTCGCTGTCGGTGGATCTGTTGCAAAACAGGGACGATAACTGGTCTTCTGGGTCGGATTCCAGCCTCGCGAAGATGGTTCCTGACAGTCTGGTCCGATATCCTCCTCAAACCAAGGATGCGTCCTGCAGTCTCCGTAGCTGTGGCATTGCGATGACGTAGGATGAATGTAGCGATCCTGTGCAGGGGTGGTAACTCTTGGTCGGCCGGTTCTCGGATGGTCTGCAGTGGAATAGTGTGTGAACTGTGTGTATCGGTCACAAAGGCGGCAAATGATGCTGTGGTTGACGTTGAAGTGGCAGAAGACTGCGATTCCCCTCTTTGGATACGTCCTTTGGCGATGTTCCGATCGGCAGCGCTGAGTTTAGGCATTTTCGAACTTGAAAAATGTTGACAATCGAATGACAAATTATTGACTTATGCTTGCCTTTTTATAGCCACTACCACGAGTTACGAATGCCATAACTTGCACGTGCATTTTGCTTAATTGTTTTCCTTCATGACATGTTTGAACAAGTGAGAAAACAATGCCGTTTAAGACATTGCAAAGCGACAATGGCTGCGTTTTGACGCACCGTCTGTCGAAAATCATTACAATTTACAGTCATATACCATACATTAGGGTGTCCAGGTTAGTGTGCGTGTGTTGCGATGTTAGAATGTTGATCAATATTGTAACGTTGATTGTGCCAGGGTATGAAATGTATTGGCATCATTAATGGCTTTTTTTAAATTCATTTCTGCTATGACATGTGATATTATTTAAAATTTGAAATGTTTAATTTGAAATAATTTAAAATGCTTAACTTGAAATTGTATGTGTGGCGGGTGCTACCGATCGAGCAAGAAACGCTTACCCTTTTCGCGAACTCCTGGTGTCATCATTGATTTTCAGTGATCCAGTCAAAAAATTCACAGGGTTTTTCGCTCAATAGAATCTGTTTCGGGGGATACTCGAGACGATGATTTTCTGGCATTGAGGTTTTGTATTTACATGTTTATTTTTAAGCGAAAACGAATGTTGTTTTCTTATCTACTTGCACCGAAACGTTGCAAAAGTGTAAACATAGCTAGCATGTTATGACATCGCATTCAAGGTCCATCATATCATGTGAATGTCAGTCAAAGAGGTCCATCATATCATGTGAATGTCAGTGAAAGAGGTCCATCATATCATGTGAATGTCAGTCAAAGAGGTCCATCATATCATGTGAATGTCGGTCAAAGAGGTCCATCATATCATGTGAATGTCAGTCAAAGAGGTCCATCATATCATGTGAATGTCAGTCAAAGAGGTCCATCATATCATGTGAATGTCAGTCAAAGAGGTCCATCATATCATGTGAATGTCAGTCAAAGAGGTCCATCATATCATGTGAATGTCAGTCAAAGAGGTCCATCATATCATGTGAATGTCAGTCAAAGAGGTCCATCATATCATGTGAATGTCAGTCAAAGAGGTCCATCATATCATGTGAATGTCAATCAAAGACCAGTGTAACGACAGCATATTAAAGATCCCCGTAATTGTCGAATGTGACATAATAATATAATTGTTTATCAAAACGTCTTATCTCAACATGTCAATACGTCACCAAATGCTCATTGACATTTATATATATATAGATATATATTTCCTACAGACCATTCCTTAATTCTTATCTCTGACCTGGACGCGCCACCTGACCTACCTGCCTTGAAAGTGAGGCATTGTAGGTACTGTATGCCAGTCACGATGAACATAGTCTACGTCGCTGTGGTGCTAGCGTCGTTGATGCAGTTGTCATCAGCGTTAGAGTGTGTCAGCTGTGAGAACGCCACCTGTATCCCCCCACCCCCGACATGTGAGATTGGTCAGCGGCCGTGTTCCTGTTGTTTGGAATGCAGAGTTGGACTTGGAGGCGAATGTGGACCATTCTCAGTCGAGTAGGTCAAGTCGTATTTCTATGTTCTTATTCAAACGAGTATTTTATAAGTGTTTAAGAAAACACATTAAAACATAATTTTGTCATCTTTTAAGTATAATCTAATAACTCATTATTGGCTTACATCAGCCATTTAACCAATATTAGGGAACCATGAACTTTATATTTGCCAGAAACAGATGATCGTGGATTCCAATCCATGATTGGCACGCCAGAAACCTATGATTGTCGGTTCGAATCCCGGTTCGCCCCAATTATATTTCTAGGTTTGTCAGCACCATACCCGTGGGTTTTACCAAACCGGTAAATGTCTAAGACCTGCATCACTTTGGACTTTCTTCCCACATTATCCTGACACGCGACTTAAATGATGTTCAAATATGCAAAAGCGACAAAACCATTTCTATAGTCATAAGAAATTTCTGCTAAAAGCAAAGTGACGTTGAAACCAATTTTTTTTCTCTATTATGGAAAATTATACAGAATAAAACACATGCATTTTTATTAAGGTCGTGTAAAGTTTATGAAAATCACTTCTTATCTATGCCAACGTATAACGTATTGACCAACGTATAAATCAGAGGAAATGTATGAATAAGCGTAAGCACCAAAACTAAAAGGAATATATATATTTAAAAAAGTCGTTAATGGGAAACGAGACATAAGAATGGCGTCAACCATTTGGAAACGGTAAAGGTGTGTCAGGCGACCTCTATCTTTCAGCAGATAATGTATATTGCATAATAATCTAGTTTAAGATAGAGCCTGATAAAGAAGTACAAATGAGAATATATGTCGATTTACTACACGTGATAAATCAACCAAACAGACGTCAAACGTATGCCGACAGCCAAAACATTGCACAAACTTGTCCTTCAACACTATTCAAAACTTTTCTGGGGCACGTGTGGCCCAGTCGTCTAAAGCGCTGCAATTCGCTGTGCAGAGTTGCGTCCCCTGGTGACGCCAGAAACCTATGATTGTGGGTTCGGATCACAAGTCGCCCCGATTATGTTTCTAGGTTTGCCAGCACCATACCTGTGCTCGTGGGTTCCACCAAAGTGGTAAACGTTAGACCTACATCACTTCGGGCTTTTCTCCTACATCAAGCTGGCAGCTGTGATATACCTGGAATAATTTCAGGATTGTTCGTTTTCGTTTCAGGGCAACACAGGCCTTGTACAATCTTGTTTTTCTTTGTGATTATGTCCTTCTTGTAGATGTAATGCCAATTTAGTGTGTCTGACTAACAACGGCGCCTACAACGGTCGTCCCCCTTACTGGACCGGTCTCGTGGGGAAATGCATACTACCCTCGGGCCTCCTGCCATCTACTGCTACGCCGTCACAAATCATACCAACGTTGCCAAAGTTATTGACGAAAGTGAGTAATTCAACTTACCTCTTGTTTCACGTTTGCTTAAGGAAAGGACGGAGTCACCCATTTCGCGAACACCCGGTGTTCCGTGATAAATAATCAACGTCAACGATATCATAGATGATCAAAGAACTTACTTATCCATCTTGGCATACCAGATCATTGTCCCGGGAATAATAGCAATACATCGACTTATTGTCATCAGTTATAATACTATGAAAGATAATCAAATAATTTATATGAATCTATACTCTTAAAGATTGTTTTAAATGTTTTAAGGCTGAAGAATACTGGACAAAAAACTAAGGATTCACGAATATTTTGCGGGATATTTGTTGAGTGAAAACTGAGCACACAAGTTCATATACAATATCCCCAAAACTATTCATAATCGCTGTCTATTTTGTACAGTATAACAGCAACATGACTTAACAATTCACTCTCTTTAGAGGATACCCAAATATGGACATAGATGTGATTATGTCATGATCTTCTTTCAGAATGTCGGCTAGTGGGAAAGAAATCAATCCTTCTATTTTTAAACATGTTTGTATATGGTGAAAGAATAAAGAGAATGCTCTAATACTAGCGTGACTTTAGGTTTTCCTACCTTATTGATCAAATGGACATACTGGTCTAAGCGGCTTTAAACCCAACTCACAACACATCACCAGATGTAACCAAATGCTTCAACCACAAATACTGGTCAGATAACACGCACAGACAGGGCACATTCGGACATATCCCTACGGTCTACGCACATTAATTTCATAGGACCACATAAACTTATTTCTAGAGTCAGAGAACCACGTAAACTTATTTCAGAGGATCATGTGAACTTATTTGTAGTGTGAGGGGACCACAAGAACTTATTTGTAGTGTGAGGGGACCACAAGAACTTATTTGTAGTGTGAGGGGACCACAAGAACTTATTTGTAGTGTCAGAGGATCATGTGAACTTATTTGTAGAGTCAGGGGAACACGTAAACATATTTCAAGAGTCAGAGGACCATGGGATCTGAAATCTGCTGTTAGGCTGTGGGTACACTATATATCAAGCACGGTACATGGATATATATGTTCAACATATGTCCGACATCTTCCATATGTATATGACAACAATGTGCCACCACACGTGCGTCTATAGGGAAGAAGCGGTCATAAAATCTAGGTCACACGCTATGCACTTCATGACTTGCTGTCGTTCAATGTTTGAAGACTATTAAATGCGCTTAGACTGAGTGAGTGAGTAACGGCGGGGGGTCGGAAATGGGCTTCACACATCTTCGGCGTGGGGAGCGAAGCCTTAAACACTAGGCTACCCGACCGCCGAAAATGCGTTATAGATTACATCGGTTACAAACTGTATGCAATAGGTCTCTCTCTTCATTTCGGCCATACCGATGTCTCTCTCTCTCTCTCTCTCTCTCTCTCTCTCTCTCTCTCTCTCTCTCTCTCTCTCTCTCTCTCTCTCTCTCTCTCCAGATTGCTGGTATTTATCTCTTTATTCTGGAGGACAAGAACCCACTCGATTCAGGATTCCGAATTCAGGAACGGAATCTTGTTCATTTTAAGCTGCTGCCAAGTGTTTATCAGGCCCAATCTGAGTACATGTGTATAGCAACCTTATGTGGATTGGTAGTCAAAACACAAGAATAATACAATAAAGGTTTCATATTCTTTATTCGCAGTAGTCACATCCCAGAATGATTCCCCTGCAACAAAAGATGAATGAAAACAGTTTCGAAATGTGATAAGAATAAGGACAGAAGTGATTCATGTTGTTTTCCAGCGCAGTCATGTCCAAGTCATATTCCAGACGGCCAATACTATGGATTGGACCGGACACACCAGTGGTTTCGGTTCATTTCCATCATCACCAGCATGTAGATAAGCACTTTTCCTAGACCCTACATCCTACAGTGTTATCTCTAGCAGGACCGCCACCGTGGTTTAGTGGTAGCGCGTCCGCCCGGAGAGCGGAAGGTCCGGGGTTCGATCCCCGGCCGCGTCGTACCAAAAAAACGTTAAAAGATGGTTCTTGTTGTTACCCTGGGGCTAAAACAAGGACTGGTCGGCCCAGAGTCAGTATACTGTGTCTGAGTGGGGTATCCATGTTAAACTGCGGCATGGTATCTCAGTGAACTAGCACTATAAATCGGCATCAGTCCGGACTAGTACAAGCAGCCACACTCAAAGACACACACGTGCATGCACGTCGCTATGTAAGTGCAGTAATCTTGAACGCGACGTTAAACCCCATTTCACCTCACCTCCTTATCTCTAGCAATGATTAAAGTATCCTTAGGGCCCTTAGATGTCTTTGGCAGGCAATTGTTAGACACCAGGCAATCCAGTGATTGACAGCATGAGCATCGATCCACGCAATTATGATACGATTACATGAATCAACCAAGTCAGCGGGTCTGACAACCCGATTTCGTTCGTCGCCTCTTACGACAAGCATAGTCGCCTTTTACGGCAAGCATGGGTTGCTGAAGACCTATTCTACCCCGGATCTTCACGGGTCTGTAGCGAGTACCGCCAATGAGTACCACCAGTACACTTATATGGAGATACTTACAAACATCAATCCTGTCATCAGGGAGTTGAAGTGATGTCGATCTGCGCGCACAACCCCGTGAAATTGAGCCACAATGGAGGTTTCTGGTACGCTTCTATTTTACCCGGACTTTTCTTCGTGCACCAGAGAGCCTTCTCGCAGCTGAAAGGTAAAAAGGGACAGATCAAAATCAGATCTATGGAAGTTGTTCTGGTGATTTTCACAACGTATATACTTTCTGTTTTACAGCACGCTTCATTAGACAGATTAGACAGTGAGTGAGTGAGTACGGTTTTACGCCGCTTTTAGCAATATTCCAGCAATATCACGGCCGGGGACACCAGAAATGGGCTTCACACATTGTACCCATGTCGGGAATCGAACCCAGGTCTTCGGCGTGACGAGCGAACGCTTTAACCACTAGGCTACCCGACCGCCCCGATTAGATAGTGTTCTACATTGTGTGCCACCTCACAACACAGTGGGGAGTGCGATGTTTTTTATTGCGCTCTCTGCAACATTATACCGATGTTCAGCTTCGCAGGAGTGAGTGAGTGAGTGAGCGTCCTTTTGATAGGCGTCAAACACTGTAATATCTATACAAAGTTCATAGGCACAAAGAACTGCAACAGTCACAAACCGGAACACATGTGTCCGGAAGAAGGCGGCTGTTTCAAATGATATGTTCCATAACGGCCAGATTCAAACATTAGTTCCCCGAGAAACAGATTGAAAAATGCAGGTTAGAAATCTAACCCGAACAAATGAAATTTATGGAAAATTTAAGGAACAACAGGCGAGCGAGCCTGCACGTTTGCTGTTTCATTCCTTTTCGGCCTTCAGCCTCAAAGGGTAGATTTGACCATGAACATGCAAGAATTTCGCTAAAAGGTCCTGTGCATGACGATACAGTTTAGCAGAAAAGGAATTCCCTCGACGGTAATATTGCAATTCCCGAAATTCTGTAGTAATAACGTATTCCTTTCGTTGGGCTTTGCTTATTTGTTTACGTTCATTGTGAAATGAATGCAATAACAACTCATTTAATTCGAATGCAGGAATTACAATGAACATAACGAAAATTGAATTATTCGGCAGTGTTTGGAACAATGTCAGTTGGAAGCCATCGTCCTAACGATGATTGGTAAAAACGAAATAGTAGTCATCGTCCTGTCGGACTATGAGTTCTTTACGGAATTTCAGTTATGTATACTACTTAAAAGAGGTTAAGGACCACCCGAGTCAATAGTAACGTGAAAGAATCAGGAGGCCCTTAACTTCTTTTGAGTAGTATGTATAAACTCTACAAACCTTTGTGTGAAACTTCCACAGGGATCGCCGACCTTCAAGGAACACTCGGAACAACAGCCACATGGTCGGAAGGAGAACTCATCACACACTAGTGATGGACAGGTCTGGTCACACTCTTCACACGTGAGGGCATTTGTAGACACTGCCAGACTGAGTAGGATCAGAACAACTACCAACTTCATAATGGAAGAGAGATGATGCTTGTGGTGGTTCCCCTGCATGTGATACTTGTCTGGTAGTCCCATGAAGACGAGTCAGCTTTATACATCTGTCAAAAGCTGGAGGGCAAAGTTCGTTGCATTTTATGACACAAATGTAGAGGATTTTGTCATGTTGTCACTTAAGGTTCGCGTTTTCTTGATGTTTCAAACTTGAACTGAATGACGTGAGACATTTGTCCTGATGGAGCGGGTAGCTTATGTTAGACTGTGACTTGATAGAGATGCACGAAGAGCGTGGATGACGGTAACCAAAAACACAAATATACTGAACAACAAAAGTTCCTGTGACATTGAATAAGATTTAATGCAAAGTTATGTTTTTTACCAAATCTGAAATAATTTCGGTTTGTAAAAGATAAAAGACTCCTGTAAGTGTTCAAATGGTTTAATTTGCCATACTGACTTCAGAAAATGCGTTATTTCATTAAAAAAAACATGAACATGCCAACATGTCAATTTACAAATCATTAGCGTGTGTCTACCTCTGGTTGCGATACAAGCAATGCAAGCAACACATCTTCGTTTCATGGAATGGACCAGGCGTCGCACAAAGTCCTGTGGGATATCTGTCCATATCTGCTGGAGCATGTTTCGAAGTTCCTGGCGTGTCTGTGGATCACGTGGTTGACGTCGAAGTCGCCGATCCATCTCATCCCACATGTGCTCGATTGGTGAGAGATCAGGGGACCGAGCCGGCCAGGGGATGACATTCACGTTGTTTTGTTGAAGATAATCCTGAACAAGTCGAGCAATATGAGGCCGGGCGTTGTCATGTTGAAAGGTAAAGTTTGGGCCATGACGACGCAAAAACGGTAGCACAACAGGGTCGACGATCTCGTCGCGGTAGCGCTGTCCATTAAGATTTCCCTCTACCACCATCAAACCCCATAATCCCACCCCATACCATAACGCTGCCGCCCCCGAACCGATCTTCTTCCATGACACAATGATTGACGTAACGTTCACCTCGACGTCGGTACACTCCAATCCGTCCATCGCTGTGGCTGAGGTGAACACGAGACTCGTCAGTGAATAGAACTTGTCTCCACTGCATGGCCGTCCAGCGTAGACGCAGTCTGCACCACTGTACACGTGCTTGACGGTGGTTTCCTGTCAAAATGGGACGTCTGGCGGGTCTTCTGGCGACAATCCCTGCATATCTGAGGCGACGACGTACGATTTATGAAGATATTCGTCGAAGGCCAAGGATGCTTCTTGCAGTCACTGTTGCTGGCTGGAATCGATTTCGTAGGTGTGTTGTTCGAATCCAGTTGTCTTGTCGATTATTGGTTACGCGTGGCCTGCCACTTCGAGGATGGTCTCTGACTGCATTCGTCTGTTGCCAACGTTGCCATAAACACCAAATGGTGTTTCTGTGGACGTTAAATTGTCTTGCAACATCACGTTGACTCGATCCTGCTTCAAGCATACCAATGGCTCGCAAAATCTCATTTTCGGACAGGCGTGGTATTTCGTAATGTTGAATAATTGCGTAATTTTGTTGTTTTTCTGAGTGGTTGTTGTCAGCACGATGCTAAACAATGCATATGGAATCCCGTTAACGCACATGTTTTTATACCCATTCTTGAGTAGTGAAATGCATGGGGATTGCATAAAAGACAACTTTTGCATGGAATGTATGCTTTTCTGTAGTAGTTTTTGTGACTTGATTCCATACCTGTACTACAATATTGAAAACCAAACTTTACTTGTTAGAAAAATACACTAAAATATTGGTGTCACAGGAACTTTTGTTGTTATGTACATGGATTCAGGCATTCGGGTATTTTTGTGATGCATTCGGAGATTTTTGCACTTTTGAAATGCATGTTCATGAAATTACTATTAGAGCGAGCAACATATGATTCAGCTGAACTCCAGATAGATTAATTTGGGGAAGACCATTTCAGTCTGCTATGACAACACGGTGATTATGTACAGTTCACACACGGAACGTTCACGGTGTTTGCCATATCGCCAGTCTGTATTGTTTCCAAAGGATGGCAAAAGTGCTGAAAATATGCAGAGGCTACCAACCAGATGGCGGTGTGCTGAATCCTGAAGATCTTATTAAAGATCATAGACTGAGACTTTGCAGATATTTTTCTGTTTCACACTTGATTGAACAAAATGCAAACCCAAGCTTTTTGACATTTTGTTTGGGTTTCCGGAAGGTTTCCCGTCCGAATTCAAAGTGAGAAGATATCCGGAAAGTTTACGGAAAACGAAAACCTGACTTTTTATCATTCGTCACCACTCGCCCCTTTCCGTAACCTGCAAGAAGACTCGTTCCCCTATCGATGAATGTTATGTGCGAAAATACGACAAACCAATCAGAATGCGCGTATGATTTCAAGTTCGTCAAAGAATCCCTCAGAAACAATTTTTAATTTAACATACGTCTTACATCTAAAAATATACCCAAGACACAGTTAAATGTGGTCAATCATACTGTATAATCCCGCATGTCCCGATGTGCTTTAAATTGCATCTAAAATATATATATATAATATATGGGAAAATATATGTGAACCATTACGCAACGAGTTGACAATTGTTTTAGGTATGCCCGTTTGCGCTCAGACGGAACCCGGTCGCAAAAATGGTCTTGAGAGGGGCACGAGTCGCTATTCGGCTTGTCCCGGAATGACAAGAGTTGGTCACGAATGGACTTTTCATATATGTACCAGTAGTGAACGTCTGCGACTTTGGTCATGTAATGCTTTTGTTCCTTCGGTTATCAGGAACGCAAAGAAATAGCAATGTTGTTGTGTGTTCGGTTTGATTTATTCTGGGATATTTGCAACGTTAAGTTTAAAGGTCTTTATAAAGTTCTATTCTCAAGATCTACAGAGAATTGAACCTTAGCTTGAAAGTAAATGTAGTTTCACGTTAGAACACATCGCATTCTTTTCACGTTCTCATAATTAAGCGAGCAAAATTGCTACGTTTTATTGTCTCCATGATACGTTTTAACATTATTTCCTGAAATTAGAAAGACAAAAGAAGAGGTCATGTTTATGGTTTTAAAACAACTTGTTTTTAGAAATCAAATAGCCAAGTTACGAAACATTATGCGAATGATAAGAATAATCAGTTGCCCTGTGTCATGAGGTCAAAGGTCATTGGACTCAAACCAAGTTTGGTATATAACTTATCTAGAATGGGACTATGCCATGCAAACAGTTTATTAAAAGACATCAAGAGAGAAGGCGCAGATTGGCCTGGATGTAATGCAAATAATATTCTTGGTGAGGTGAGGTAAGGTAAAATAGGGTTCAACGTCGCGTTCAAGATTAAGGCACCTATACCCTGACGTGCAGTCACGTGTCTTTGAGCGCGTGTGAGTGTTTACGTGTGTGGCTGCTTGTACTAGTCCGGACTAATGCCGATTTTATAGTGCTAGCCACGTCGCGTCCAAGATTATTGCACTTATATAGCGACGTGCATGTACGTGTGTGTGTGTGTGGCTGCTTGTACTAGTCCGGACTGATGCTGATTTATAGTGCTAGCACACTGAGATACCATGCCGCAGTTTAACATGAATATCCCACTCAGACACAGTACACTGACTCCGAGCCAACTCCGACTCCGTCAACAACTTTATTATGGAAGATATGCACTTCATGCCAGACTGGGTACTTGACGCGCTTATCTCGAGCCTCGCGTGAAAGATAGACATCCGTCTCCAGCCGGAAGTGTGTCAACAATGGCACTATTAATGTCCTATAATGTATGCGTTTTATGATAATGAATTAATCTTGATTAAAAAATACAAAATTTAAGTGACATTTGCCTTATATTTTGTCTTTCTCTATTAGACATTTAACCTCATATATTTGACACATGTCGACTCATTTCATTTGTGATGCATAGGTAAATGGGTGTATAGTCCCAAGCACTATTTTACAGCAGGTAACCTGCTTTTTAATACTGGAAACTTGATACATACAGAGTGCGGTCTTTCATGTTTGAAATCATTAACCTTTGTCTGTTTGGTTTTGTACGCTGCTGACAGCAATATTCAAGCTGTTGCACTGCTTAATTCATTAGTGAGTGAGTGAGGTTTCGCCCCGCTTTTAGCAATATTCCAGCAACAACACGGCAGAAATAGGCTTCACACATTTCACCCATGTGGGGAATGGAACCCGGGCCTTTGGCGTGATGAGCGAACGCTTTATCCACTAGGCTACCCCACCGCCCACCGTTGTCTACTCTCTGACATGAACATATTATACTGAAAAAACATTTGTACAATTTTAGTTATAATACATAATGAAAAGGAGCCCAGAAATGTTCTTCATACTGCAGTAATCTGGACTTGCGAAATATTAGAGACTTGCATGGGCTGTATTGGATATATTTGTTTCAGGGTCTGTATGACAGACTGTTAGTCGGTTTGATGATGGAGGAGATCCGGAAGTGATGCAGGACTTATCATCAGGGCAAATGTGGGATTCGTGCCAATACGATTTCTGACACAGTCAAAGGACGAAACAGCAAATTTCGGTGCCGTAGACGGCTTGACCTACCATGAACCAGCTACTCATATGACTTGTATACCAGACTGCCCGTCGAATGCGTTCTTGTGTCATTACAGGTATTTAACGGCGACTAAATTATATTACGATATCTTACTTCCCAACTGAGGGGCGGCGGGGTAGCCTAGTGGTTTAAGCGTTCGCTCGTTACGCCGAAGACCCGGATTCGATTCCTCACATGGGTATAATGTGTGAAGCCAATGATGGGTGTCCCCCGCCGTAATATTGCTAAAAGCGGCGTAAAACCATACTCACTCACTATTTCCCTATCATCAGTTCTATAAGGTGTATTTGGTGGTTTTGTACTTCCCGTTTCAGTTCAGGTCCTGCTTGACATTTGCTGCATGTAAATCATTTGTTTACTAGGTATACATGTATGTGCTAGTCACATGGTCATGTTATATTACGTCCTTTAGTAAGATCACAAATCATCCCGCAACCATATGCATTCAAATTACAGCTTTGTCGAGAACACTCCTTTTTGTCCTTTTTTTT